TGTCCCAGTGTCAGTAAAAATAACACCCTTCACATGTTAAGAGTGAAGTTGCCCTCTGGCCAACAGCTGGGAATAAGTGAGGGCCAAATTGTGCTGTGCCCCCCCTAAAGAAAGGTGTTTATGGGCTGATCTGTCAGCCAAGGTGGGCAGTGATGTCATCTTGGGCTTATAGTCTTCACTGCAGAAACAAAGCAGATAAGCAACCTGGATGTTCCCACTTGTACATCAGGGACTAGCAAAGCCAGTGGAAGAGGCCCTCTGACTGACTGTCCCATCTTGGTGGAGCTTTGGCTTTGCCTGAGTCACAGTGTGGTTTTTTCCTTGGAGGAAATGGACTCCAGTGTCCAAGTTGACAGGCTGGCTCTCCCTCCCTTCTTGTCTGAAACCACCATTCACTGGAAAACTCAATTCTATTAGTCCATTCTTATGCTCAGAAGTGACGAAGTTCCAGGATGATCGAAGTAAATAGTCCTATACATGTATCAAGAAATGTTAAAAAGACAGTCTCTAAAGCACTTTGGGATTCCCCCAATGAAAGGCACCAGATAAATGCAAGTCATTACCGAAAGGAAATGTCAAGTCTTCCAGCTTTCACATCTGCAAAGGGTCGCCACTAGGGGCACCTCATTTAATGTAATAAAATCTGCATATCATGGAAAAGCACTCAGGAGGAGGGCTGAGCAATTGTGTCCTCTTCCTTCTTTCTACTTTTCACAGGCTTCACGGTCAGTGACCACAAACACACCACATTCAATGACCTCATACCATCAGCTCTGGCAAACAGGAGCAGCTCTCACAAATCTACGCCACCACCTGCCTTTTGTACAGCAGGGGATGGTTATGTAACTTCTCGGCCAAAGCCAAGGGTTCCATGTGCAAATTCTGAAAAAGAAGCCCGCTCTTCTGACGTAGTGCTGGTTACCTCGAAGTCATCTAACCTTTCCTGATGCTTCTTAGACCACCAGGCACCAGGAGGTAGCTGTCTCCCTCACCCCCATGAGGTTCCAGTCTCCTGGAAGCTTCTAGACTGGGGACTCAAGGGCATAAGTGACAAGTACATTCATCCAACAAACTGTCCGCACAATAGTAGCCATGGCAACCACACATAGCCCCTCTGACAAGATCCCCACTCTAGCCCTGTAAGGCAAGTATTCTCCTCAACCAACTAAGACACAAAACCAATCTTCTGAGGGGAGACTTGGATCAAAAGTCTGACTGACTCCACATTTAAATCCCTGGATTTCCCAGTCTTTCCACAAACCAAATAGTAAAGGGCATCAAATGGAAGCTCGTCTGATTATCCAGAAGGCAAGTGAGAAAAATTATCTTACAAAGGGACCCAGGTTCCCCCTTTCAGTTGCATGTGCTAAATAAAGAAAAGGGAGGAGAGAATTTTGAAGAAAGAAATCATTTTTTTCCTTCAACACAAGTAAAGGAGTTTAAAAGTCTTTCGGATAGCATTAAAGTTTCTGAGAAGCTTACGATTATTTATGACATTCTGTAAAGCAATCATTTTAACAACTCTTTTTCCTTTCTCCTAATCCCTGTCTCTCCCCTTGTCATGCACACCAACCAGGGGTAGTTAGAATGGAAATCGGAGCCATGGTGCTTTCCTGCGGGATAAGCCACACAGCCTTCATGCACTTCTGTATTTGGAGTACACACTTTCATGTCAACAGGTTTCCATGCCATAACAGGAACTCCAGGACAATCATGACATCGAATCAAACACACTGTATCCTAGGAGCAAAACTACCTAAGCAAGTTCAGCTTGGAAATAAAGGGGCTTCTAGTCTATGAGCTTTTAGAGTAGGCGGCAAGAGATTTTAAAGTGTCCTTGCTGCATACAGTTCACTTAAGTGAGACAATATAACAGTAAGCCTGTTTTTGGCAGACAGACAATACAACCTTATTCCTAAACATTTTTTAAAATGAGTATTTTACAAACATGCTATTAGCTAAGACCCTATGGATCACAACAGTCCAAGCCCCTTGGGCATGGGCTGTCATGAGTGGGGGTGAATTAGATGGCAGCGAACCAGCAACGACAATATTTAAGACACAACAAAATTTGCTCAAATCTAGACTAAGAACCTCAACCAGAAGCAAACATCTCTATAGTCATTCCAAGGAAGACAGAGACCTGGCCGGTAGGGCTCAGCCTGTACAAATTCTGCATCAAGTAAGTATTCTGGGATGAGGCTAACCCTTGGTCCCTAATGCAACTATTCTTGGGGGGGAGGGAGTAGTCAAACTTCACTGCCTGTTAAACATTTTCTACAGAGTGACGGCTACAAGAGGAACAACGGTACACCCATGCAAGCCACAAACCCAAACATCATTTATGACACAGCTCACAGACTTGCACTGGTGATGTGTCCCTAGCTTCACATTCTCTATCTTGTGTGTGTGTGTGTGTGTGTGTGTGTGTGTGTGTGTGTGTGTGTGTGTTTTGGCATGAAAAGGAAGTGACAACAATGGATTTTGAAAGTAAGATTTTGGTTTTCCCACAACTGGGAGCAAAAAAATCTCTGATATATCCTTGCTGACCTCAACAGGTACATTTCTCCCAGACAGACATGTGGAGACTTTTTGCACAGAACTCACATGACGACCTCAGAAACAGGAGCACAAACAACTCACAGACAGCACTGGGCCAAGAGCACTAGGACAGCGTACACAGGGGACAGAAAAAAAATCACGCTCTCGGCCGTACTCATCTGGCAGCAGGGTGAACACTGTATGCCCACAATCCAAAGACCAGTGAGTGTCATTTCATTGAAAGGTGCAAAGACATGGTGTCAGACACACCATCCTGTTAAAACAATTCTAAACACTGTAAAAGCAACCTGGGGTGCATATCTCATGCATCTCTCCCCTGTGGATTTGGGTGGACTCCTTAAGCCATAACCCTAAGGTGCCTGGACTGTGCCAGAGACACAGCTCAGTAGTGTGGATCTGAGGAGGTCAAGTCCTCGCAGCTAATGCAGGGAATCATTCAAACTCAGTTCACTCGGTGAACTCCCGCTCATGTTCGTCAGACTTGCCATGAGGGATTTAACTTTATGAGCATAATAGTCCCTTAAATTGACGGAAGGGACCTCCTTCATGCCATCCCCAAAGTCACAGCTGCGCATGGCACTCTCAAGCTGCTTCTGGCGTCTGTAAAAGTGGGAGAACTTATTGAAGATCAAGGTGATGGGTAGCACTACCACTAGGATGCCTGCCAGGATGCAGGCAGAGGCGGTCAGCTTCCCTGCTGTGGTCCCTGGGACTACATCTCCATAGCCCACAGTGGTCATGCTGACAGTGGCCCACCACCAGCAGGCGGGGATGGTGGCCAGGCCGTCATTCTCCTCTTTTTCGATGGTATAAGCCACCACAGAGAAGATGGAGATCCCCACCGAGAGATAGAGCAGGAGCAGTCCTACTTCCTTATAGCTGTATTTCAAGGTGGCTCCCAAGGAGCGAAGGCCAGTGGAGTGTCTGGCCAGCTTCAAGATGCGGAAAATACGCATCAGCCTTAGGACCTGGGCCACTCGGCCCAAGTTGGCCAGAGCAGGAGTACTCTCCACCACCAGATTCACCACCAGTGTGATGTAAAAGGGGACAATGGACATGAGATCGATCAGGTTGAGAGCATTCTTAAAGAACTTGAGGAAGTCAGGGGCCACTGCAAACCTGGCCACCAGCTCAAATGTGAACCAGGCAATGCCAAAGTGCTCTACGATTTCAAACCTGGGGTCCTCTCCGGGGTTGCCCTGGCTGTCAGGGATTTGGAAGTCTGGCAGGCTATTGAGGCACATGGTGATAATGGACCCCAGCACCACCAGGATGGACAGGACGCTGAAGACCCTGCTCAGGACTGAGTAGCCCGGATTGTCGAGCGCCAGCCATAGTTGTCTGCGGAAGTTGCCCAAGGGCTGCCCATCAAACTTAGAGGCGTCGTTATAGAAGGCCAGGATCTCATCGAAGGAGGACGTGGTACTTTCCTGGTCGCTCTGCTCGTCCCATTTCTCCTGCTCAGGCTCCACTTTGCGGCCATGGTAGCTGTAGCTGCAGCAAGAGTCGATGAAGAACTCGTTGATGCCCCAGTACTCGATCTCCTGGCTGAAGGAGAAGACGCACAGCTCGGCCATGACGTGCAGTTTGCCGGTGTGGTAGAAATGCAGCACGTAGGGGAAGAGCTCGGGGTTGCGGTCGAAGTAGAACTCACGCTGGACGTCGTCGTAGTCGTCGCAGAGCTCCAGAATGGCCTCGCGCGAGTGGCAGAGCAGCAGGCGGCCCAGGCGCGTCTCGGGGAAGCGCAGGAGCGTGTGTGAGCGCAGCCGCCTCTTGAAGCCGCCCACGTTGATGCGGATCTCTCCATCCTCGACGTTGGCCTCCGACACGTCCCACAGGCTCTGGCGGGTCATGCTGGAGACGCCTGGCCGCCGATGCCGGTGCCGCGCGAGGGTGCTACACCTGGAAACCAAGGAACCAGGTCGGCGTGAGCGCGGGGCGTCTTGGCTTGGGGGGCCCCTTCCTTCTTCGCCAAGCGTCTCTGAGAAACCCGGGGGGGGGGCCTTTCCAAGAGGGGATGGGGAGGGGAGTGCTGTGGGGTTCAGCCCCCTCTGAACGACGGAGTGGAAAGGGGGGATATGTTTCCAGTGGAGAGGCCGCTATTCCATCCCTACTTTGGGGGGTGGGGGGTCCTGGCAGTAGCTTCCTGAGAGCCGAGGGGGCTGCGCACTGACCTTGCCCGTGGGCGAGCGGAGGAGACGCCCCCGCCCGCACGCCGCAGACAGGCGGGACCCGAGCTGGGATGCGCACGGGCAGGGCTGAGCAGAGATGGGGGGCGCGCAGCTTAAGGAGGAGGGGGCGGGGAAAATTCACCGCTAGGGTCTGTAAACCCCGCTTGGGGGGAAAGGGGGTCAGCTTGGCATCCCTTGCGTTCACCCTGCACAACTAGATCCCTTTTTTCCTACCATCTCTCCGGGCCTCCCCGCTCGCCTGGCGCCATGCCCCGGAGCCGCGTGCGCCGCGCCTTACCCAGCGGAGCTTTCGGGGCTCGCCTTGCGCGTTCTGGAAGCGCTTACCTGGGAGCGCGGGGGCCCGCGGCCGAGGCCGGCGGGAAACTTCCCGGACCTGCTGGCGAGCATCACGGTGGCTGCCGCTGCCGGCCGGCTGTGCGTGTGCGCGCGGGTACGGGTGTGTGTGCGCCTGTGTGTGTGCCCAGCGGGCCGGCGGGCGGAGTCCACCGAGCCTCTCCTCCTGTCTCCGGCCGGGGATGCCGCCACCACCTGCAGTTGCAGGAGGCTCACAGGTGGCTGCGTGGCCACGAGGCTCACAGAGCCCTGCCCCCACCCTGCCCCCGCCTCCCAACGTGCGCGCCCCTAAAGCCCCAAGAGGGGCTGGAGCCTGCGCTGCAGACTCCGGTGGGAGCGGAGCCTGTGCGCCTTGGCGCGGGCCCTGTCCAGGAGCTTGGCGCGGTGGTGCTGAACGGACAGCTCCGGGCGCGGCCGCCGCCCCAGACGCTGGTGATGCTGCCTGCTTGCCGCTGTCACTGCTGCCACGATTTCTCTGCGCTCTTCTGGCACGTCACGGAGACCCCTTTGCGTCCCTGGCTCTGCGCGGGGACGACACCTTTCCCAACCCCCTCCTGTACCCCCGTGACAGCTGTTATTCCTACCACCCCCGGGGCGCAGACAGAGGGCTGCCTACGGTGACCTTTCCCCGCTTGAGCTCTACATCTCCGGACAGATGCTGGATTAGGGAAGAAGGGTGGCTGGCGATGTTCAGGCTGAGAGAGGGAGAAAGGACAAAACAAAAGGAATTCGGGATTACCCCTTTTAGGGACCTGAGGAAAAGTTTCATGAAGCCCAGGGGTGAGATTGTTGGGTAAAAGGGGCAGGAGAGGAGAAGAGGAGGCAGGGGAAGCCTGAGGTCGAGCTCCGCTTAGTTAGTTTGCCAGGGGCGGGAGCGTCAGCCCCACTGGCGTAGGAGGGAGTCACGGAGTTCTGTTTGGGAGCTCTGTGTGGGTGCCGGGTGTGTATAGGCCAGTGTGATGTGGCTGCTGCTGGGAGAGCGTGTATGGAGGGTGTGTGTGTGTGTGTGTGTGTGTGTGTACGCGTTTTGTCTAAGGGCAGGGGGGTTTTCAGGGTGTACAGTGTTGACAACGATGGTATGGCTGTGGTGTGGGGGATGTGTGCAGGATATTGGTAGAGGGGACCTGGGGCATGTATCAGTGTGATTGTGTGTACACAGTGGGGCATTTTCAGCAGTGTGGGTGTAACGTGCTATATACACCATGGGGTATTCGGTGGCACCATGACAGGATCAATGTATATGTGTATATAGAATGAGAACTGTGTGCTTGTGGACATGGTGGGGTTTCTTGGGTGTGGGCCCAGCATAAATGTTCTCACTGTCAAGCAGACTCATGGCCCAGGTCTGTGCTCCCAGTTTCCTATAATTCTCCTTAAAGCCTGGTGCAGGGGTCCAGACTGAGAAATGAGATCATGGTCCCTGAAAATCCCCTCCCCTGACCTCTCAGTTCTTAATAATGCGAACACTATACCGTTTAGCACAGTAAAACTTCTGAAGCACCATGAGCTGTGTGAGCTTAGCAACAGCTAATGGGTGACATTCATGATCAGCAAAACCAGAAATTGTGGGTGACTTTGGACACTCAGGACAGAACCATGGCCACAGTGGGAAGGACACATTCTATTTTCATGGTCCTGCAATGCTACCTCAATTGAGCAGTACGGGATAGAAAGGTCTGTATGGTTCTACAAGACTGTGGGTTCCTTTGGAAGGTCTGGGGAAGGTATTTGATCTGGCATCGTGGGAGAGCTCCAATTTCTATCTCTATGTTGGGTAGAGGGCAGTGTGCAGGAGCATTGCCTATTAAGAGGAAGCCACACCTGGCAAGATGTGGAGGTTCCAGGGAGGAGAGACTTGGCTGAAGGCCACAGGAGCTTCCTTTTGCTTGCATGTCTCCCCCACCCCGTGTGTGTGTGTGTGAGGGGTCGGTGTGTGTGTGTGTGTGAGTGTGTGTAAGAGAGGGAGGAGAGATTGATTCTGGCCTTTGCAGTTTGTGTCTCCTCTCTTTCTTTTAGGATCTGTGTATATGATCTATTATGTGAAATCTGGAGGACAAGCACACCTGGCTAGCTGCAGTCTGGAGGCCCCTGATTCTCTTTTATCCCCATAGGAGTGATGCTGAAAGAATGCTAGCCATTGACAAAGGTGTGTGTTTGTGTGTGCGCACATGTTATCGCAGTATTGCTGCCTCCTCCACTCTGTATCAGCGCCCTCGCCAACCCTTGGGAGCATGGGTGGGAGGGTGGTTCTACCTGCTGCAGGTGCCCTTGGCAGCACCACCCTGGGAGCAGACTGAGGTGCCTGTGGTCTCCCTGCCCCTCATTACCATCTTCTCTCTGAGGGTGCAGCTAGCTGGCTTCTGGCCACTCTGAGGCTCCCAGGTTCCCTTCTGCTTGTCTGCCACATGTCTGTGTGGTTTCTGCTGCCCATGCTTCCCAGCCATTCCCATTTTTCAGCCTCAGCATCTGACTTCTCCTGATGAAGCTTGGTCCATCATCCTTCTTCCCCTGCTGCACTTGGAGGGTCCCCAACATCACTCTGATTCCTTCTCTGAAGAAATGCTTGAGTTTGAGGGCTTGAGGATTCTCCTCCCTCCTTGCTCTATTTATCTGCCTGCCTCTTTCTGTTCCTGTCTGGTTTTGTTCTTGCTCATTCTTTCTTCCTTTGTGGTCCTTGAAAATTTCGCCTTTGGAGGCAGAGCACCGCCTGACTTCTGTTTCTCTTTATTTCTCTCACCCCCACAGCTGCTTCACCCGCAGACTGCCAGGGACCTGGGGCTTTTATCTTACCCTCCCAACTCTTCTAATAGAGACCATTTTGATTTCCTCTCAGCTCTGCTTCTGCTGCTACCAACCCTGCTCCACCTCCCACCTCTTTTTCTCCCTCTACCTTGTCCACCACCCCAGGTAAGAAAGCGGAACCAACTTGCCCCCAGCCGGTCTGAGGCCAAATGTCTATCTCTGCCCTTTATTAGTTTTTCCTGTTGAAGTTGGTGCTGGGGACAAGCCCCCACATCTGCCTCTCTTCGAACAAGAACGTGAACTCAGAGCCTGCAGGGAGAAGTCTGGGTTTGGGGCCCATCAATTATTTCTTGGAAAGGCTGAGGCAGAAGCTCCATAGGTCTGACAGATGCCTTCGCAGAGGGTTAAGTGCATGTGACAGGCAAAGCCACTTGTTTATTTCTTAGTGACTGTGCTGAAGAGAAATGGAGCCATATCCCTCTCTCTGTACCCAGGAAAGCTGGCTTTGTTTATGGTCTATTTAGAGGTCTGAGCCCTGATCTTAAAATGTAGCCACCTGTTCCAGGCATCCATGGAGGCCTGCCTCCAGCTTAGGAGAACCTACTGGTCAAACCCTGGGGTGTAGAAGAGGGAGAGGCACCCTGGGAAAAAGGCTGTAGGGACCCTGGGTGGTAGCCCACATCCATGCACCTGGTTTACTCTCATCTCTGCCTCCCCTGCCAATGCTGATCTCCTGACTGAGCCCACACAGCTCAGGCTCAGCTTTTCCCCCTGTCTGTCAGAAGAGGGGGCTGCATCTGCGGCTTAGCTGAGGAAGCCAGGCTGCCTGACCTACATACCCCACTGCAGGGAAGAGCTGGGTCCCTGGCTCCAGTGGGGGTGTGAGCACATGGGGACCTGCCACCTTGGTGAGGTGAGCTCTTTGTCCTGTATTGACTGTATTGTCCTGTCTTGACTCCATCTTTCCACTTCAGCCAGTGAATCTTTTTTATCACCCCCTTCCCAGCCCCGCCCCAGTGAATCTTTTAAAGACACGATTTAGATCATGTCATTCTCTCCTGAAAACCAGTCAGTGACTTCCCATTGCTCTACTGTTGTTGTTGTTGTTGTTGTTATTGTTGCTGTGGGTCAGCGAGTCAGAACCAACTCATAGCTGACCCTCCAGTGAGTTTTCAGTCAGTAAATCACATGGGAAGAGATTGCCCATCCTTCTCCCAGAGAGTACGTGATGACTATGAACCATGTGTCTTTGGGATTGCAGTGTGGCATCTTACCATTAGGCCACCAAAGCTCCCTGCCATTATTATATATGTTGTTGCTGTGAGCTGTTGAGTCAGAACTGACTCACAGCTGACCCTCTAGCAACTTTTCAGATGTAGAATATTGCATGGGAGGAGATTTCTCATCCTTTTCCCATGAAGCAACTGGTAGATTTGAACCATGTGTCTTTGAAATTACAACACAGCTTCTTATGACGAGGCCACTAGAGCTCCCAGTACAATAGTGTTGTTGTTACTGGGTACCATTAAATCAAAACCAACCCATAGCTGACGCTCTGGCGGGTATTCAGAGGCAGTTAATCACATGGGAGGAGATTGCCCATCCTTCTCCCATGGAGCACCTGGTTGCCATATGCCTTAGGGATTACAGTGCAGCTTCTTACCCCTAGGCCACCAGAGCTCCCATTACACTACTAGTGAGATCCAACTCATAGCTTTCAAGACCCTCCATGGTGGAGCTCCACCCCCCCCTTGAAGACTTCACCCATTTCCTCTCCCCACTAATTAGCCACATGTCAGCTTTGCTGTCCCTGCAAGGTCTATGCCCTTACTATTCTCTTTGTCCCTGTCATGGCAGCTTCACATAGCAAATTCCATCTTGTCACTCAGATTTCAATTGAAGTATCACCTTTTTTGAGAGGTATGATGGCCCAATCTCAGCTGGATTCCTTTGCCAGTTTGAATCTTCTTCTCAGCACTTATACGAAATAGGTGTTTAATAATTATTGTAAAGTACTGAATACGTAATTGTAGAATGAGTGAATGATTGAGGCTGTAACTGTTATAATAATTTAGTCTGTACTAGCCAGGGCTTTAATCCCTTCTTGGTTCACAAAGCAGTGGGACCCTCTCCTGAGCCTCTGAATTGTCTGGTGAATTTCATCCCTGGCTCCTCATTAAAATCACCTAGCGACCTTTTCAATGTGGCAATGGCCCTAAATACCCTTAAAAACCCCAGACCAATTAGCTCAGAATTTCTGGTGTAGGGATAGGCTTCGGAGTTGTGTCAAAGCTGTGAAGTTCAGCTTGTTTAAAGGAGCAAAGGAGGAGAGCCCGAGACATTTGCCTTTGAGGGTGTGAGCTGAGGGCTGTGTGCTCCCAAGTCGAGGCTGCAGAATCTGCAAACTCGCAGTCAGCACCAAGGGCAGTGACTGGGCTTACTCAGCTTGGCAAACACCCACCCACCCCCACTGCCTGCAACTCTTTTGGTTTTTATGGGTTTGCTTACAAAGTTCGTATATATTGTGTTTCACACTATTTTTCATTCATACTGTGTTTCATACAATCGTTCTCATACACTATGTTTTATAAAATTAATCACCATTGGGCCTTGCCTATCATTACCCTGTCTTTTCACCTGGATCCTTTCCATTTTCTTCCCCTCCCCTTCCCTCCACCCACCAAACTGTGCAACTCTATGGTTTGCCCCTACCCATCCTCACCCCTCTACTCCCATACCTCCTCCCTCTTTGGGTTCCCATGCATGTTTTATTAGTTATCCTTCTGTTTTTATAATAATGGTCTAATGCAGTATTTGTGGAGAGGTGGGAACGGTCACACACTGTTGGTAGGATTGTAAAATGGTACAATCACTCTGGAAGACAGTTTAGTGTTTCTTCAAAAAGTTGAACATAGAAACTCCATATGACCCAGCTATTCCACTACTAGAAATTGTTCATTACGGCATTATTTACCATCACAAGAACATGGGAACAGTCCAAATGTCCAGCTACAACTGAATGGATTGAGAAACTGTGGTACATTCATACAATGGAATACTATGCCACACTCAGGGGCAACTATTTTTAAAACTTATTACATAACTTGGGAGAGATTAGAGAGCTTTGTGCCGAGTGAACTGACATATGGCTGCAACTCTTGATGCAGTGCCTGCCCAGGCAGGGTATACTGTTAAGTCGTTGTTCCTGCATCAACTCCAGCTCATTGCAACCCATGTGTGTCCAAGTAGAAATGTGTTCCATAGAATCTTCAGTGGGTGATTCTTTCTCTTTTTATTTTATTTTTTTTTTTCAGAATATCAGGACTTTCTTCCAAGGCAAGTCTCAGTGGGCTCAAATATCTAACCTTTCAGGTGGAAGGCAAGTGTTTTAAGTCTTTCCACTACATGGGATCTCCTCAAATATTATGGAATGTTTTGGAACCTGTGTAAGGCATTTGTTTTCATTCATAAGGCAACTTAGTCAATTGTCCTTGAGTTGATTCTGACTCTCAGGACCCTCATAATCGCTTAAGGCCTTTGCCATGGTGGACCTTATGTCAATCCCAAGCTCTTCAAAGGGTCCCTTGCTTTTCCTTCTCACAATCTTTGCATTATTTGTGATGAGGAGAAGTCACTGTTTCTCTCCCTCTTTGCACCTTTCTTATATTGACAATGGGGCAATGGGAGAAACAACAAGGGAGATAACAGGCCCGGCTGGCTGGATTAACAGCTGGAAGGACACAGAGACAGTACTAGGGGGTGGAGGCAGACCTTCAAGAGGGGAGAACCCCTGGGAAGCTGGCCTGGCTTTGTAAAGGTGCGCATGAGGGATGGAAAAAAGGCTAGGAGAGGGAGAAATGGAGAGAAAAGTTGGGAGACGAGGTATTGAGGCATTCTGCTGCAAGTTATGAACCCATTTCCTCATTAAGGATTTTCTCAACAAGCAACTGTAAATAATTAAATAGCTTTTACAGCATTTCTAGATGCCAAATGAAATTTTTCTCGGAGAGTCCTTCTCCTGACTATCCAGCTTTGTTCCTGATGCACGTTTACCTGTCAGATGTTGACAGGGGAGAGGATTGTGGCTTCTGAAGGCTCCTTGAGGGTTTATAAGGAACCTCTCTGAGTGCCTTAGCCGAAGTCCTGACGATATACTCAGTTACTTTGTGCAGCTGCTAATGGACAAGTGGGTAGTTTGAATCCACCAGCCACTCCACAGGAGGAAGATAAAGCAATTTCTTCCTGTTACCATTGATTTACAGCCTCAGAAACCTAAAGGAGGGTCACAGGAGTCAGGACCACCTTGATGGCAAGGGGTTTGGCCATAGGTTTGGTTTCCATGAAAAGGGAGTCCCCAGAAAAAGGTGCATTCTAAAACTGACACACAGAGTCTACACCTGAGAG